TTATAATGATCTTTATCTTAACTAGAAGTACAATGTTAATGATTGAAAATTTCAGATAAATGATAAGGTGAGCAGGGCTCAGCAAGTGTTGTAATCTGAAATTATTAGCAGGTAGCTGCTCCAAAATCCCTCCCCCTCAAGCACACACATGCACATGTACAGCAATACTATTATTTAAATCAGAGTTCTAAGGCTCAGAAAAACAAAATGGAATTGCCTCTAAACAGTTAAAAGGCAAATAAAATCATTTTTGGGGTGAAAGACCTAGAAAAGGGGACCTTAAACATTTCCTCACCATACAGTGTGTCTAAGGTAATGATAACTAATAATTTGTACAGAACTTTAAAGCTTACAAAGCCCTTGCATATAAATGAGTCATTCAGTAGCACTAGGATTTGGGAAAACTAAGTATTTTTATTAACTTCAGGTTATTGATGAGAAAGCAGGTTCAGGGAAATTAAGTGAAGGTTACCTAGCTAGAAAGTGGCAAAGTTGGAACTTCAAATCATCTGATCCTACATATGGTACTCTTTTCACAATACCATGCTATTTTCCTAGTTATAATATTGGACATAGAGGCATTATGATTAAATATGACATATAAGCTAAAGTTATAGACCATGATATACAAAGATAATGTAGTCAGAACTCAGGTCTTCAATACATGTATCCTATCAATTATTATAGCCCACTTGAAATGTTTATATAAATGGAGTTATTTGAACTGTGCCAAGAAAATTACAAATCAAGGGAAACTCTTAAGTATAAACAAATTTTTAAAAGAAAACTCTTTTGAGAAGTTTTGTATGTTTTCTTTTTTCTTTTTTTCGAGCTGGAGTCTTACTCTGTCGCCCAGGTTGGAGTGCAGTGGTATAGTCTTTGCTCACTGCAACCTCTGCCTCCTGGGTTCAAACAATTCTCCTGTCTCAGTCTCCTAAGTAGCTGGGATTATGGGATTACAGGCACCCACCACCACACCTGGCTCATTTTTGTATTTTTAGTAGAGACAGAGTTTTGCCATGTTGGCCAGCCTGGTTTCACGCTCCTGACCTCAGGTGACCCACCCACCACAGCCTCCCAAAGTGCTGGGATTACAAGTGTCAGCCACCGCATCCAGCCTTCTTTCTTCCATATTAGTCATTCTCTGTTCTTAAAGGGCATGGCTATAGTTGTTTTATCAAATAAATATTCTACTTTGTTCCCCTCAAATAAAGGATAAACTGTAGCCTTTGACATAGGTTATTTCAATAGGAAATAAAGATTATAGTAAGCAAGTCATAAGAGATGCTTTTTGTTGTGTGTGTGTGTGTGTGTGTGTTAATGAAAACATACTTTTATTTTCTGACTGTACTGTCTTTGGGGGACAGTTACAGATTTAAATTAACTTAGGTTCTTACGTGCTTGTCTCTGAAGATTAAGAGAGCAGTAAGTGGTTGTGGGAATGAGAGATTGATAACTTCTGTCAACCAGAATCAAAGATGATACCAGGTGTTCATTATAAGGGTCATTCCACTTCTTGTTTCAAAATACAAATCAGCGGAAGAGATGGCTAATCTTGTTTTCTCAAGTAAATAAAGAACAAGTCAAGGCTTAGAGGGGAACATCTGACATCACTGAAAGAGGAAAGAAGACAGGATTTATTTTGCAATTAGCTAGATAAGAATTAGGATTGTTTTGTACTAGGGCAAAAATGTTTCCTTATACAATCTTACCATGTGGGTTTAATTAGTAAAATCTTTGATATATAGTAGGCATGCCGTTTTTCTGAACTCTTGTCACTTTTATTCTCTCCAAAGGAATAGGGCACTTAAGAAATAAAGGGCACCAATTCAGAACACTTCCATGTAAATTTTTTTCTTTTCTGACAGCTTGCAGATAAATAGAATCACCTGTGACAAAGTACATAGATGATTATAGAGCTGACAGAAACTACAAATCATTCAGTGTAACTTACTCAATGTATTGCTTGATTTGCCTATTTCCAGAATTTGAAACCAATACGGAACATTCGTATTTCAAATAGGGCAGAAGGATGAGAATTACGCTTATGAAAATGAAGAGAATGTTTATGGAAAATTTACAGAATAGGTTAGTCTATTTCTGTCAACTACAAAAGATTGTTTACAAAAGGAAACTGAAAATGAAATGGCCTATCCTTGCCAGCTTTTCTTGGGAAGTATAGTATTATAGTGACTATTGCCCTAAAAGGGAAGTACAGAGAACTTAGTTTCCATTACTGGTCTTCATTGATTTATTAGATGCTTATAGGCTAACTCATCAATGTCTGTGATTACTTAGTTTGTATGTTTGTGTCTCAACAAGATAAAAGATTGTAATACATTTATTTATCATGACTTCACAGAAACAGGAGAATTAATAAAGTATTATTTTTCAAAAGCTTGGAACACATGATTATGCCATTTTTATTTTGGCAAATAAAGTAGATACAGGAATAAGTTAAGCCTCCTATAACTGCATTGATTTTTTTTTTTTTTTTTTTTTTGATAGAGTCCATCTATGTTGCCCAGGCTGGAGTGGAGTGGTGTGATCCGCTCACTGAAACCTCTGCCTCCCGGGTTCAAGCGATTCACTTGCCTCAACCTCCTGAGTAACTGGGATTACAGGCACACACCACCATGCTTAGCTAATTTTTTTGTACTTTTAGTAGAGACCAGGTTTTGCCATGTTGGCCAGGCTGGTCTCCTGACCTCAGGTAATCTGCTAGCCTTGGCCTCCCAAAGTTCTGGGATTACAGGCTTGAGCCATAGGTGAAATTTTCTTTTAATCACTAAAAGTTGTGAGGAGTTAGTGGATTTTTTTTCATTTCACTTTATTCTTTTTCAAAAATCAAATTAACACAAGAGATGGCTAATCTTGTTTTTACATGAAAATTAAGAACAAGTCAGGGCTCAGTTTCCATTCCTTATTTAATGATATATCTTAATAAACTAAAAATTATTATAAGATTTTTCCCATTGATTATTTGCATTATTTTTCCCTTTTGGAAAAATATCATACTCCAGTTATCCATTTTTAGTCAAGTTACGATGTAATTAAACTTGCTAAGTAAAAAACAATGTATACTTTAAGCTAAAAATTTGGAATTTCTACAGTCTTATAGTTGTAGGCAATCAGGAAAGGCAGGTTTCATTCAATGTCTTTTAGATTTAAGGTGACAGGGCTATACTTACATTTATTTGTAATGTAATATTTAGAGAAAAACATATTAATGCCTTTTAGTGCTAAATGATGTGGCGGGTCATTGATCAACTCTGTACAGCATATTTAATTTCTTAATACAACATGACCGAGATGATGGTGTTTTAGATAAAAATCTCATGGATTTTATTTATTATTATAGTTTTAAAATACTTAATCTCATGAAACTTATTGTAATACATCTCTGGTTAAAAATAGATTAGAGTGTATTTGCAATAGAAATCTTTCAAATATATTTTGTAGGATTTATGAAGGTAGAATGTTCAGTGCTCCCTCTCCTGGCTTTATCATATTGGTGAACTGACCTCTCAGCCCACAATTGTGGTAGTAGCTAAGAAGTCAGTTTTGAAGAACCAAATAAGATACTCTGATATGATATTCTATTTTTGATTTGTCTATTCCAAATACAGTCACAAGAAACCTATCCATCACTGGTAAAATTTCGTTACATCCCAAAATCTAATGAGATCTGGTTAAAAAAAAAATACAATACAATCAATTTTGTGCTTTTAAATAGCCTATTTTAATACCATTCATAATATTAAGAGTGAATATGTAGCTTTATGTGAATATCAAGCTTTTTGGCTTGATCCTTATTCTATGCTATTTTCTAGTGATGCTTTTTTATTGTTATTGATGTTCTTAACAATGCTCTGTATTCTTTAGTGGAATTCCAAACACAACTTTAATTTTTGAAAGTGCTCGGACATTTGAAAATCCAGTGTGTATGTGGGAGTGTGTGTGTATTATGTATGTATATTTTTATAAGTTTCAACAGAAACGCTTGTTATTGTAAATAAGGAGACTAAAAATGTACTTTGAACTAAAAGTTTCAATACTCATATTTAAATATGACTTAGATTCTAGAGTTTTGTTTTTGTTGCTTTGTTTTGCCAGACTTTAAGCTACTCCTGATATACAGTACCTGGAAATTCCTTTCCACTAAGTTTGGTTTTTAGGTGGCTTTTAAAAGTTTCTATGGAATCTTAAATTCCATGTATAGTTATTCTCACTGCAGCATGAAAGGCACAATTTTGATAGCAAATGTCTAAAATCCCATAGTTGGTAAGAAAGCAAGTTTCATACTTATAGTGTTTTTTTTTCCCCAGTCACATCAGATATTACTAAGAATTATAAAACTTCTTGATAAATTTTTTCTATTCTAATTAATTGACTTTTAGCTAATTAAAAAATATACAGGTTGGTATTTTTGCAAAATTATACAACTATATTACAAAATGGAAAGAATTTGGTTTCTTCTCCATGTGCTTGATTTGTGGGAAATCATATTAACAAACCAGGTATAGCAATCATTTTTTTAAAAACCCACAACAGAAAATTTCCCCTTTATTATATATCCTCATATTACATTTGCAGCAAGACATGCCACCTTTTGAACTTTAGATTTCACATATTCTGAACTGTTGTATATAGGAATTGTAATGTTATATAATCATATTTTTGTGTCAATATACATTTTCCCTCTAGTTGTTCAGAAGTGATGGCTTGGCATACAACTTTTTTCTTCTTTTATTCTTCACAATTCTTTTCTAATTCAACTTAAAGAGTAGAGTCCATCAATCCTTTTAATTGAGATCGACAACTAAAGATTGCTAACTAAATCCGAATGTATTCCTCTATGACAAACTGCATTTGCAGAATTTCTAGAGGCACTTTCGAAGTTTTAAGAGGATGTTTATTACACGAGTCTGAAGGACAACGTTTCCAAGTTGGTACACATAAACGAAAGAGGAAACGAATTTAAGGAAATCCTGTTCCAGGTTTTCGGTCAGCCCGAGAGATTGACACATGATATCACCGGAGGCGTGTCCTGGAGTGGAGGTGGAGGTGGAGGCAAGGAGCTGAAATTCTGCGGAGCCGGAGTGAGATCGCTCTGTAAAGCACGCAGTGGTTTGCAGAGTGATATCAGCAGGCAGAGTTCCCTGCCCTGGATAAGGAACAACTACAGTCGCTGTAAATGTGCCTGAAAAGCAATTTCCAATCTTTGCATTAGGTAAGTACCGTTTCCTTCCGTAGACATTTTAGGAAAGATAAGGTGAGAAATGTTGACTTCTGCAAGGAACTGAACATTGCTTTGAACTCGCGCTCCAGCTAAGATTACTCGTTGCATTTCAGAACACCGGTAGCATTCCCACTGCTAAAAGTAATGCTCTTAAAGCAAATGCTACCGCTAAAAGAAAAAGGATCCCTTTCACCTTCCTTTCCTTAACCGAACAGTAGCAAGTTGAAAGTCTGAAATGATCGAATGTGTGAAACACAGGGCCGTTAATGCCTTTATGCGAAGAGGGGCTGGCACTCGGTGTGTGGACCAAATGCGTGTTTGCTTAGGCATTGTTGGTGACCTAATCCTGAGCGAAGCATTGGTTTAAAACCTGAATTTCCCGTCTCTGTGTATTGATTTCTAACGCGCAGAGGCGTTACTTGAACGTTGTTTGAACTTCTAGGCATTCCAGGGGGCAAAAGCACCTCGGCAAAAACGTGCAGGACTGCATGTTACTTTGGTTCGCGGCCGACACGCCGACTGTGCGCCGGCCTGTCAATCACCGGGAGCAGCAACAGGGAGCACATCGCAACGGGCTGCGGGCGAGCTGGCCAGCGGCCCGCCCCGCGTCCCAGCCCTTCGAAGAAAGGGACATTCACGAGCTTCTATCTCTAATCCTCTGTCGCAGGCATTTCGGCCGTGGAACTGCAGGCTCGGAGGACTGGGTGTGAGCGCTCCCCGGGAGAGGCTGACCTGCCAGGACCAGAGTTCCCGGGGACGCTGTGCCCCCACTTGCCCTACATGTGAGATCGCCAAAGCGCCTCGGCCTGAGCGGGGAACCAGGGACGACGCCCTCCTCTCTCGAAGATCCCCAAACCTCGCTCCCTTAACCCCTCCCCGCTAAAAACACGGGTAAAAAGATTCCCCTCCCCCTACCCGGCCGCGGCGGCCTCTGCCTGGCAGGCGCGTGCTCCAGGGTCTCGCGCGGGGTTTGCGCGGCTCCGTGACCCGCCCGGCGACGCCGGTTCGAGCCCTGACCCGGGCGCCGCGGAATCTCGAACGCCCGTGACGTGGATTTTTCGTTCGTCAGGAGGCCGCCATCCCTTCCTTCGTTCCCTGCGAGGAGCGACCAGAACCGGAGAAGTACTCTGAACACACCGTGCCGTCAGCCAGCCCGTCACGCACTCGACTCTCCGCCACTCCCCTGCTCGTTTTTCTGAGACTCGGAGAGCCTTCCCGAAAGGATTTGTAAAAACTGGTTCTTAGAAGGGGACTGCGGACCACCTCGTGAGGTGGATGTTACTGAGCCGCCCGGCGAGCGCCAGCCGTGAGAGGTCCGGCCCGGGCCGCGCGGAGCCGCGGGAGAACTGCCCTCCGCAGCCGGAAGGGGGCCGCGGGGAGCGCTCCTGCCCGGTGGCGGCGGGGGCGGGGGAGGCCGCGGGCCGAGGCGCCGCAGCTCCGGCGATGCCGCCTCGCCCTCCCCGCCTCGGTTGATGCGGCGCGTGTACGCCGCCGCCCGCACCGGGACCTGGGCCGGGTCGCACGGCTTGGCCCCCAGCCACCGCTTCGGCCTAGGTGAGTGTGCGGCCGCCGCGCTCGGCCCGCTGGGCGGGAGGCGCGCGGGCGGGGCTTGTTCGGCGCGGCAGGTGCGGACTCGGTGGCGCGGCTGCCCTGGCCCGGACTCCGGGAGGGGAGGGGACTGGAGGAAAGAGGAGGGACGACCGTGCGCGGCGCGGCCCCACCCGCCGCCCCCTGCTCCCTGGGAGCCGAGGCTTCTGGAGCGCTCAAGGTTGGGTGGCTGGGTGGGGGGCGTCCGCGGCGGCGGAGAGTAGCGAGACAGGGTCTCCCCGAACCCCAGTTACCCTGAGCCGCGGCGCGGTGGCCCGGGTTGTCCTCTCGAAGAGCCCTTCACCCCCGAGAGGGATTCCAGGCGGCCCTTGGGGTGTCCCCGGGGGCCCTCTGTGTTGGAGTGTGCCTCAGGCATGGGACCGGCAAAGGCTGTGTGTGTGTGTGTGTGTGTGTGTGTGTAGGGAAGCAAATCCCCAGAATTCGCCGGTCACCCCTCGATAGAATTAGCCTGTCCCAAAGCCAGTCGCAACTTTCTTCTTGTTTTGAGCACAGTGCAAAGGCGAGGGAGGGGAGAGGGCACTGCCACTTTAAAAGTGGGGAAGTCGGCCGGGAGCGATGTCTCTCGCCTGTAATCCCAGCACTTTGGGAGGCCAAGGCGGGCGGTCACCTGAGGACAGGAGTTCGAGACCAGCCTGGCCAACTTGACTAAACCCCGTCTCTACTAAAAATATAAAATATAGCCGGGCATGGTGTGCACGCCTGTATTCCCAGCTACTCGACAGACTGAGGCAGGAGAATCGCTTGAACTCGGGAGGCAGAGGGTGCAGTGAGCCGAGATCGCGCCACTGCACTCCAGCCTGGGAGACAAAGTGAGACTACGTCTAAAAAAAAAAAAAAAAGTGGAGAAGTCCGCCCTCCTGAGTTTATGCTAATCTCAGCCTCCTCCCCTCCTCCTGCCGGAGAGAGGGAGAGAGAACTTGTTTTCATTCATAACTTTTTCCCTTTCCTTCCTCTCCGTCAACTATTTATTCAGTGCGGATTGCAGAGGGCGCAGCTCCACCGTCGTAGCTTGCAATGTGGCTGTCCCTGCGCTGGGCTCTTCTCTCCGGCCCTAAAGTATAGACACATCCTTGCTTAGGATCATCCAGACCGTGGGCTTGCTTTGGGCGCTCGCGTGGACGCTGAAGGCTCTAAATGATTTGTCAGAAACCTTGGTGGGCCACGCAAAAAGTGTGTTGGAAATCCACGGTGATCCTTAGGATGTGATGGGATTGTCCGAAAAGGTACTCTACTTCCATTCGCGTTTTCCTGGGGAAGGCGGTGTGCCGAGCGCGTGTGAGCGTGTTTGGGGTTGGTCCAAGACTGTCACTGCTTGAAAATGGGCTTTTCTTCAGATCGGAAGTGGCGAATTTTCTTTGCTTTTAATTTTTCGTCTGGCAGCTTCATTTCCCAGCAGTATAAAGTTCGTTACAACTATGATTGGAAATGCAAATTAAAGCTGTGCCTGGCGTTTTGGGTTACACTATTCAAATCCTCTACGGTTTTGCGTTTCGTGTGGAATCTGGCTTAGTGCTTTTAGATACCTCTTGCTTTCAAAGCACTGAGTTAAGAAGTTCTTGAAGAGGAGGAATAATTGTGTTGGAGTAAGGGTTCGGTGTTAAGGACCCAGAGACGAAATCCCTGCGGGTTATGAATGTGTTACTGCTTATGCACAGAGAAGGTAGAATAAACTAGAGAAACTTGGAGGGCTGAGTTGTGAAAACAAGGGGAACTACAAGAAGTTAACATATAAGGCATAGTTTAGAGACATTGGTTTAGGAAATATAGGAAATGGACTTCTTTCTGTGTTATTCCTTAAACCGTGTTTTTTTGTCTCAGGGTGGTAGTTGAGAATGGACATCTCTTTTTCTTTTCCTTCTTGAATTGGGTGGATTCTGTAGACTTTAGAAGGAATTTGTGTGAAAAATACTCTAGTTCACCACTGAAAGCAGAAACTTTTTTTTATCTTTGGTAGTTTGTGAAGAACACATTACAAATTAGAAATGATTTGCTATTAGTATGGAAATGCAACTGCTTATTTTTATCTGGATAGTAGTGTGCTGATTTTATTACAAGAAGCACATTGATTCAGAGTTGGCAGTGCTTTTGAAAATCAAGGTCTGTCATGTAAATAGATTTTTAAATTAGAGGAAATACAGATAATTAAAACGGCCAGGATTTCCCTACACTGCGTTAAAGGCCTCACACTTATTTGTGCATAAAAGTTATCTTGTTTTGTGAGTGAGCCCTTAAGCTTAAAAAAAAAAAACCCTCTCGGGATTTCAAATGTGAGTACTATTGTAACATTCACAGGACTATACATTGAGTCTTGTGTGTGTGTGTAGCTACAAAACACCAAGAATCATTGCAGACCTGATACATTTATTTTTGCATGTCATATAAGGCAGCTTTAAAATTCTGATTTGTATAGAAAATTACCTCTTATTTTGAGATTTCATTTTAGAGTCTTAATTTTTTTAAATGCCTTAATTTTTTTTATCATTAATCTAATGCTTGTAACAGCACACGGCAAAAAGGCCGTAGCACCAAAGCCATTCTCAATTTCTTAAAAGGTAGACATTTTCCTTTATGGAAACCACCTATGAAGTGATAACTGAGCTTTCTTTAGAAGAGAGTTACTCTACTGCTTATACTCAATATTCCCTGTGAAGGCATGCTCCATTTTAATTATTAGATTCACAAACAGGAAGGCATTACTTCCTCTTGATTCTGCTTCTCAAAAGTTGGAAAACCTTGTAATGTTTATGGCATGAGGTCTCTTGCTTAAAGTCTTCCTCTATGATGTGGTCCCCAGCCTCTCCTGGAATTGGACTCTGGCCAGGACCCCAGCATCATTGTAATCCACTGATGAAGGAGGTCATTACTAGGCAGTTTAGGCAATTTGTGACTTGACAGGATTCCCCCTACCCCCACCCCAAAAAATGCCTTCTGTCGTTTATTTTCACTGTTTTTTTCATCTTTGATTTTCTTTTAGGATTTCAGATGCATGCCAGGTTTCTACTGATTGCCAGAACTCGAGATCACTACACATGGATCCCCAAAATCAACATGGCAGTGGCAGTTCATTAGTTGTGATCCAGCAGCCTCCTTTGGATAGCCGTCAGAGATTAGACTATGAGAGAGAGATTCAGCCTGCTGCTATTTTGTCCTTAGACCAGATCAAGGCCATAAGAGGCAGCAATGAATACACAGAAGGGCCTTCAGTGGTGAAAAGACCTGCTCCTCGGATAGCACCAAGACAAGAAAAGCATGAAAGGACTCATGAAATCATACCAATTAATGTGAATAATAACTATGAGCACAGACACACAAGCCACCTGGGACATGCAATACTCCCAAATAATGCCAGGGGCCCCATTTTGAGCAGATCGACCAGCACTGGAAGTGCAGCCAGCTCTGGGAGCAACAGCAGTGCGTCTTCTGAACAAGGACTGTTAGGAAGGTCACCACCAACCAGACCAGTCCCTGGTCATAGGTCTGAAAGGGCAATCCGGACCCAGCCCAAGCAGCTGATTGTGGATGACTTGAAGGGTTCCTTGAAAGAGGACCTGACACGGCACAAGTTCATTTGTGAACAGTGTGGGAAGTGCAAGTGTGGAGAATGCACGGCTCCCAGGACCCTGCCATCCTGTCTGGCCTGTAACCGGCAGTGCCTTTGCTCTGCTGAGAGCATGGTGGAATATGGAACCTGCATGTGCTTAGTCAAGGGCATCTTCTACCACTGCTCCAATGATGATGAAGGGGATTCCTATTCGGATAATCCTTGCTCCTGTTCACAGTCACACTGCTGCTCTAGATACCTGTGTATGGGAGCCATGTCTCTATTTTTACCTTGCTTACTCTGTTATCCTCCTGCTAAAGGATGTCTGAAGCTGTGCAGGGGGTGTTATGACTGGATCCATCGCCCAGGGTGCCGATGTAAGAACTCCAACACTGTCTATTGTAAGCTGGAGAGCTGCCCCTCCCGGGGTCAGGGTAAACCGTCATGATTTTTGGAGGTGGGTTGTACCTCCTGAACTTCTAGCTTTCAAGTTGTGGCTGTTAAAAAAAAATCCTATTAGATACTGGTTTTCTTTTCTTTAGAATTTTTCCCTGTTTCCCACCTTCTCTTCCACTCTTCCCAAGGTCTGACTCATGGATTTTTCTCTTCCCTCATGGAAGCTCTTCAGTAAGAGTGGACTGGAAAGCTGCATCTGGCCCCTACTTAGGACCAGAGCCTCTGCCGTCCACTTGAGAGGGTATTGAGAGCCAGCGGGCTTCTGTGTAGTGTTTTTCTTCTGCAAGCAACTTTCTAAAGTTGTATACATGAACATATACACCCACACCCAGACTACAGTGACTTAGAGCTGTGGCGATTGGGTACCTTGGGAGCAGGGAAATTGGTTTTTTAAAAAGCAACCATTTAATTGCTTAAATAAGCTATGTATTAAATCTGTCTCCAGTTAGGGCTCTCTTCTAGCTTTGGCCCCCTAAGTAGCATGGGGGATATATTTTTTGCCATAACATAAAAATTTTCCTTTAACCACTGCCCTGTCCTTGTCTTTCAAGCTTCTTTCCCCCTCAGTTTTGGCGTTGCCTTACTCTGGAGTTGCCAACTGTATTTTTTTCTTTCTTTCTATGTAATTTTAGATTCGCTTGACAATGTCAGTCTTCACATTGGAGATACATTGGTTGTACCTTGCCCGTCTTCACTCTAGCTTTCGTATTTGTGAAGGACTCAACCACCTTCCTTCTACACCCCATGCTTCTCAGCAAATGTTTCTTGTCATTGGGGGCACTTGGATAACTCAAGTTGATATTTATAGCTGATCAATCTATAGGTGTCACAGAACTATGCTGCCTAAAGTGATCCTGGCTCCTTAATGGTCCTTTTGGCCCCCTGGTTAGGTAACAGCTGAGTAATTCTAATCTCTTCTGTGTTTTCATTGCCTTAACCACAAATTGTGGTGCTTTTTGTATATTTTATGTATAAATCACAAAGTTGAATTCTGACTATTTTTAAGACAAAAGTCTGTTAAACTTTTTTATTGTAAAGAATATTTATTATGCGAATCTATTATTTTATGATATTTATTGCAAAGACTGTTGAAATGTACTCGTCTGAATATAACAAAATATCAATACTTAACAGAGAATAAGGTGACACGAAGAAAGTACATATGTTAACTATAATGCAGAAAATATATTAATTAATGAAACTGTCTCTTGATTTCTTCATTTATTAGCCTGTACTATTATGATGATTTTTGCTTATTTGCTTTGACTTTTTCTTCTTACACACCCATTTTACTTCTTTCCCTATAGATGTTGAATCTAGACACAGGTGAGCCCAAATTATGAGCTTGATGTTAGGTTGGTGCAAAAGTAACTGTGTTTTTGCCATTAAAAATGGCCAAAAACTGCAGTTACTTTTGTACCAACCTAATATTTCCTGGAAAGTGCATTAATCAAAATTCTGTAATCCGAATTATCTTTTAACAAATGCTCAAGTGAGTTATTTTATACAGTAAAATTTTTTTGTAACATTAAGTCACTCCCTACTTTGTTTTGTAAGCATGAGGTTTTGGGTATATCATAGTTTCTTGAAATGGGGCATATCTACAGTAGAAGTGTTTTTCAATGTTTATCTTAACTCTCAAGTTAATAAAAAGTTAGATTTATCAGCTAGACTTATGAACTTAGTTCTGTAGATATGCTAGGCATCTCTGGTACTATCACTTTAATAAGGCATTCTAGAACTTACCAAGGGAATAATTCACAGTATCAGAGAAATTTCAAGAACATTTCTGTCCCTGCCTTTTCATTTGTTGTATAAATCTAATGTGACCTGACCAAATTACACCTCATCATGTCCTGTGCAATAAGAAATCTGAGAGCCTAAAATTTTATGTAGAAAAAGTAAATAATTAAAATCTTAGTTTTTAGTCTGGTGAAACCACTACATAGCTAGAATCTTTGGACCTGATAAATATTTGGTCATTTGAGTCCTCAGAATGCACCATTTTTAAATTTGATAAAATGTTATTCATACGAGTCCTCAGTCTCACTAACTCCCTATGACTAAGTGATATGTCAGTCATTATCTCCATTTGAAAATAATTCTTTGCATCGAGAATAAGATGTTGACATAATCTGAACCCAGGTTATCAAAGCTCTCTTCCAGCTTTTTGTTTTGGTCATTATTCATGGATGGTTTGGCTGTTAGTTTAAGAACACGTATTAGGCTTTGACTTTGTTTTATATAGACAAGGCATAATTGGTAGAAACTTGTTTTAGTGCTTTTCCATCAAGCCGCTAAACCTATTAGTTGGCAAGGTGGTATTTGATCCATCAAATATTTCCTTTATGCTCTGAAAGCAGGAGGATTTTTAAAAGTGAATAGTTGTGTTTTGGAGGCTACTTCATAATCTATAGCACTTAAAAATGTGAAATGAGGAAATCTCTCATACTCAAGTTATGTAATGTTATCACTGGTCCTTTCATATTTATAGAGTATTTCATTGAGATGTGACTTCTTAATGAAGTGTATAAACACAGACTTCTTTAAAATACTGTGTGGGTTTTTTTCTGGTATTATGCAGACCCTTAGTATAATTAGTTGGAGTAAGAGATGTCTTTAGCTGTAATAACCAGACTAAGAAGCAATAGCTTTTACTGAAAGAAATTTATAACTTTTATGAGAATGAAGTATGCTGTGGAGTTTTAACTTCTGGCTATATATATGCAGAATACATGAAAAATATTAAGATGGTGGTCTGCTGCTTTGAGAGCTGTATATGAACTCAGACATAATGGCAAGTCCATGGAGCGATCAGTTAGAGGTTCAGATTTCTAGCAGAAGCTTGTCAGGTGGCAAAGCATAAATACTTTGATTCGAAACTTCCTCCTTTGTGTTAATTTAAACCTAGGAAGAAGAAATATGAGTGTTTCTTCATAAGAGCTTATGGGTCCTAACCCAATACTGATCCTCATTTTAAAGTGCTGAGGCTGTGAAAGCGTCAGCTGAAATTTCTTACAATGCTGCTGCCACTTATTTAATGCTGCTGAATGAAAAACAACATGCCAGATAGATGGGCTAACCTTTTTATTCCACACATTTGTCCCTCTTGCCCAACTAGTACAGCTTGACAGAATGGATGTTTTTGTTACATGGTTCCTTTCCAGTATATTTTTTAACTGCCAATTTTTGCATTTCAAAGAAGCCTTATTTAGATAGTTTAATAGTGAATAAACCAATATAGGATTTTTGTAACTGAGTAGTTTCCTGTTTACAGAGTTTATAAAATGTAACCTAGCAGAAAAATGAAATGTGAAAAAGTAGACTTTTGTATGTAAAGGCCTAAAGTGAATCTGTAAATATAGGATTATAATTATGGTTTCCAAAATTCAAACCACAGAATATTTCAATTATTACTAAGAAATAAAAATTAAAGCTAAAAAACAGTAGTCTTTAAAGTGAAAAGAAATAAGTTAAAAACTATGTTTTTACCCCAGAATTGCTAATGGAACCAGACTCAGGTGATTCATTTCCAGAGGATTTAATTTTTAAAATTAACTCTTCTTCTTAAATCTTTTCTTTTTTTAATGGAGTGATGTATTTCATAGCAGATTTTATATATATATATACATATATATCTCATATAAAAATCCCTTTTGAAATATATTGAAATATTGAAACAAACTGAAAAAGTGTCTAAAAGCAGTTCTGCTCCTAAACTCCCTCTATACATTTTCTTTTTTATTGTAAGAGCATTGGTGATTTTAAATACGTTGAAAACCAAACTTTAAGTCCTTCTTTTAGCCAATTGATGGTTAAAGGGTTGTTTTTTCCATTATTTCACTGATTAGCTATAATCAAAGTAGCCATGTGTATACTTACCTGGCAGTTATTGATCCTTATAATAGCCTCTCAGATTATTACCAAGTCATTTTGCTATTATTGGACACCTCCTAGGGGCATTACTCTGTATACAGTAGAATTCTAGAACTAAAAATATATCTCAAGAGTTTATCTTAATGTTTCTCAATCATATATGAAAAAGATAGTTTAAATCTTAAAAATTTAGAAGTGTGTGTCATAGCTCAGACCTATATTAGAAGAATCTCTGAGGGCGGGGTGTATTCTTAATTTTCAAAAAACTTTTTGAATGATTTTTTCAGGCAACTTTGAAACTATGTAGTTCACTGTCTTCGTTTTGAGGATGTACAAACAAAGACATGGCCTGAGAAGATAAACTGTTTATGTTCTGGCTAGGGTAGAGCCTGAACGCGTTCATCTGACACAGGATTTTCTTTATTTCTCATTTGTTTGCTTTTTGGGACAGGGTCTCAATCTGTCACCCCGGTTAGATTGCAGCAGTGGCACGATCAAGACTCACTGCAGCCTCAACCTCTGTAGGCTCAAGCAATCCTCCCCTGCCGCAGCATGTGAAAGTAGCTGGGACCACTAGCAAACGCCACCATGGCCAGCTTTTTTTTTTTTTTTTTTTATCAGTTGTCTCCTTATGTTGCCCAGGCTGTGCTGAAGCTATCCTGCTTAGCCTCCCAAAGTGCTGGGATTACAGGCGCAAGCCATTGCACCTGGCCTCTTCATTTCTCAGCAGCCAACTCAATCAGTGCCTTTCTGCTGCAATTAGCCCTTACTATTTCATCCTCTTTACCGGAAAGCCTTTCCTTCATAATTAATATATTTTACCATAATTTAGGAAATGAAATGTTTTTCTGCATATATTTTTTATGCTTAGCTATCGGGAATAAGTAGTAAATGACTTCATTGCCATGATGACTTTTCATATGTTAATATAAAAATTAACAGTTTGAAAGTGGAGCTTGTGGTTACTCTGGCTGGGTTGATACGGTAATAATAGAAGAAATGAATTTAATAAGTTTGTAAAAGGAACAGTAACTTGGCATCTAGATTTAAGAACCTGTGTCATGGTACTTCTTATCATTTTTCTGGCTGCAGTAAGATTACAGTGATTAGAAGCTGCTTTAAATTTTCTATTTTGCATTATTAAAGAGATGGATGTCTTGCAGATAGAATCACAGTAGATATGGCAATAATTCTATTGCAGAAACTATCAGAGAACCTAGAACTTTTTTGAACTGGATATTTAGGTACAGTCTACTAGAAGCATCATCACCAATGATGCTTTATTTAGTCCAGGAACCTCCTTAGTCTATATACAATAATAAATCATCAAAATTATAATTTGATAAAATCAGAATTGTAGCTTTTGTGATAAAATAATCATAGAATCATAATTTCCTTCCTAGTAGAGTGAAACTTAAAGGTCTTCTAATCCAGTCTTTTTATTTTGGAGATGAGAAGTCCAGGCTCAGAGAGGCTGCTTGGCTAAAGTCATGATCTATTTGTGAAAACGAAGTAAATTGTATTAAACACTGCTTGCTGGGCCGGGCTTGGTGGCTCACCCCTGTAATCCCTGCACTTTGGGAGGCCGAGGTGGGTGGATCAAGAGGTCAGGAGCTCGAGACCAGCCTGACCAACATGGTCTCTACTAAAAGTATTTTTGTATTTTTAGTAGGGACCAACCCTGTCCCTACTAAAAATACAAAAATTAGCCGGGCATGATGGAATCCCAGCTACTTAGGAGGCTAAAGCAAGAGAATCTCTTGAACCCAGGAGGTGGAGGTTGCCGTGAGCAGAGACGGCATCACAGCACTCTAGCCTGGGCGACGGAGCAAGACTCCGTCTCAAAAATAAAAATATAAAAATTACTAGCCGGACACGGTGGCTCACGCTTGTAATCCCAGCACTTTGGGAGCCTGAGGCGGGCAGATCATGAGGTTAGGGGTTGGAGACCAGCCTGACCAACATGGTGAAACCCCACATGTACTTAAAAATACAAAAAAAAAAATTAGCCAGGCGTGGTGGTGCACACCTATAATCCCAGCTAGTTGGGAGGGAGGCAGGA